ACTTGTAATTTTATCCTATCTTTTAAATACTAAGTCTAAATGTCTACTTCGGATAACAATATTACTCTGTGTTCTTCTAAATTTGGGAAATTGTATGTTACATTTTTTTGTAATGATATATTTTATGGCATAAAATAAGGATCAAAGTTTATTTATTTTATTTTTTTTGAGTTGGTTTCTCAGTTCGTCACCCAGACTGGAGTGCAGTGGTACAATCACAGTTTATGACAGCCTCAACCTCCTGGGCTCAGGCAATCCTCCTGCCTCAACCTGAGTAGCTGGGGCTACCGGCACATGACACAATGCCTGGCTAATTTTTTAATTTTTTGTAGAGATGAGGTCTTGCCATGTTGTCTAGGCTTGTCTTAAACCCCCAGACTCAAGCAAAGGGGTCTAAGTTTCTATTTCTTAATATTATTAAGGAATGTCCTCAGCGGATCTTCTGTTGCAATGAGATTGTCATGTATTAAATGCTCACACAGCCCTCTCCCTGTTTTTAAATTTTCTTTGTTCCATGGACCAGATTTCTGAAGCATGTGGGCTGCTTCAGGATACGTTCTGATATCTCCTAAGTTCTCTCTTATTCTCTCAGTTAATCTCTGATATGAACTTTAGAATTCTTATGTAATAAAATACCCTATTATTATTTTGTTTGGAAATGTATTAAATCTATAAATTGCCTTGACGTATCACCATGCTTATGATATTTTTATTTTTTCTTTTATAAAATATTTATAGATTAAGAATGGATGCTTTATTATATAAAATACCCTTTTAAGCCGTTTAACACACTTAAATAATTATGAGTGCCAGCCAAGCATGCTAGGAGTGAATCAACTGTATTATGAGAAGAACATGCGTATTTTTTGGCTACTTCCCATATTAGTTCACAAGCTTTCCACCCTTTGCACAAGCTTTCCACCATTTGCTCTAACATTTCCTAGGTCTCTTCCTGAGGAGATGTTGGTACCCACATCTTGCTCCTAAATCTCCCGTGGACGTTATATCTCTGCTGTCTCTGCCCATCCTCATTCCCCTCACACTTTCTTTTTTTATTGATGCATAATAGTTTTACAAATTTTCAGGGTACCTGTGATTTCTTTTTTTTTTTTTTTGAGTTGGAGTCTCACTCTGTCGCCCAGACTGGAGTGCAGTGGCCACTCCCGGCCACCGCAGCCTTGACCTACTGGGCTCCGGCAATCCTTCCGCCTCAGCCTTCCAAGTAGCTGGAACTACAGACGCACGCTACCACGCCCGGCTAACTTTTTGATTTATTGTAGAGATGAAGTCTCGCCAAGTTGCCCAGGCGGGTCTCTAACCCATGGGCTCAGGCAATCCACTCACCTCAGCCTCCCAAAGTGTGGGATTACAGGCTGAGCCACCGAGCCTGGCTACCTGTGATGTTTTAATACAGGCACACAAGGTATAATGATCAAGTCAGGGTGACAGGATAGCCTAACCTCAGACACGTATGTTTTCTTCATGTTGGGGACTTTCCAGATCTTCTCTTCTAGCTCGTTGAACTATGTGATACACTGTTGCTCACTGTAGTTACCCAACTGGACCAGTGAACACAAGACCTCTCTCCTTCTACAGAATGCTGGTTTTGACCAGCCTCTCTTCATCCCTCCCTCCCTGCCCTGCTTTCCAGCCTCTGATACCCATCAGGCAAATCTCTACTTCCATGATAGACACGATTTTTACCTCCCATTTGTGAGAACATGCTGTGTTTGTCTTTATGTGCCTGGCTCATTTCACTTAGCTAATGACCTCCAGTTCCCTCCATGCTGCTGTAGTAGCAGAATGTCATTCTTTTTAATGGTTTAATAATATTCCAGTGTGTATATGGACCACATTTTCTTCATCCATCCATTCACTGATAGGCACTTCTGGTGGTTCCAAATATTGGCTATTGTGAATATGCTGCGATGAATATAGGAGTGCAGGTATTGCTTCAGTATACTGATTTTCCTTCTCTTGGATGTATCTCCCATAGTGGGATCACTGGATCATGTGGCTGTACTAATTTACATTGCCACCAAATGTGTGAGGGGTCCTCTTTCTCTGCATCCTCACCAGCATCTATTATTTTTTGTCTTTTAAATAAAAACTATTTTAACCGGGGTGAAATGATATCTCATTGTGTTTTTGATTTGCAGTTCCCTGATAATGAGTGAGTTAAGCATTTTTTCATATACTCCGTGCCATTTGTATGTCTTCTTTTGAGAAATGTCTGTTCAGATCTTTTGCCCTTTTTTTTTTTTTTTGAGTTGGAGTCTCACTCTGTCACCTAGACTAGAGTGCAGTAGCTGCTCCCGGCCACCACAGCCTCGACCTGCTGGGCTCCGGCGATCCTTCCGCCTCAACCTTCCCAGTAGCCGGAATTACAGGCATGCACTACCACGCCCGGCTGATTGATTTATTGTAGAGATGAGGTCTCGCTGCCCAGGCGGGTCTCGAACCCGTGGGCTCAGGCAATCCACTCACCTCAGCCTCCCAAAGGCGCGGGATTACAGGCTGAGCCACTGAGCCCAGCTTGCCCATTTTTAATTGGATTTTTTTTTCTTTTTTGTTATTGAGTTTTTGAGTCCCTTATATTCTGGTTATTAATCCCTTGTTGAATGGATAGTTTGCAAAGATTTTTCCCATTCTGTAGGTTATCTCTTAATGTTTGTTCATCATTTCCTTTGCTGTGCAGATGCTTTTTTAGCTTGATATGATCCCATTTGTCCATTTTTGCTTTTGTTACCTGTGCTTTTGAGGACTTACCCATAAAGTATTTGCCCAAACCGATGTCCTGAAGTATTTCCTCATTGTTTTTATCTAGTAGTTTCATAGTTTGGGGTCATCACAGATTCAAGTCTTTAATCCACTTTGGTTTGACTTGTATATGGCGAGAGTTAGGTGTCTAGCTTCATTCTGATACCTGTGGTTATCCCATTTCTCAGAAGCAGTTACTGAGAAGGTGCCTTTTTCCAATGTATGTTCTTGGTGCCTTTGTGAAAAATAAGTTGGCTATAAATGCATGGATTTATTTCTGGATTCTCTATTCTGTTCCATTGGTCTGTGTGTTTATTTTAAAGTTTATTTTGGGTACTATGGCTCCATAGTATATTTTGAAGTCAGATAGTGTGATGCCTCCAGATTTATTATTATTATTAACTCTGAATTGTTTTCCCTTTATGAGGAAAAAAAAAAACCTCTGAGCAAACTGGTTATAGAAGGAACCTAACTCAAAATAATACAGGTCATATATGACAAATCCACATTATACCAAACAGGGAGAAATTGAATGCCTTTCCTTTAAGATCTAGAACAAGACAAGAAAGCCCACTTTCACCAATTTTATTCCACATAGTACTGAAAGTCCTAGCAAGAGCAATTAGGCAAGAAAAAGCAATAAAGGGCATCTTAATTGGAATGGAAGAAGTCAAATTATCCTTGTTTGCTGGCAACAGGATATTATATTGAGAAAACCTAAAAACTCCACCAAAAAACTGTTAGAACTGATAAATGAATTCAGTAAATTTGCAGGATACAAAATCAACATGCAAAAATCAGTGGCATTTACATATGCCAACCGTGAACAAACTGAAATCAAGAAAGCAATCCTTTTACAATAGCTGCAAAAATATAAAATACTTAGGAATAAATTTAACCAAATAAATAAAATATCTCTGCAAGGGAAACTGTAAAACACCAATGAAAGAAATTGAAGAGGACACATACACACAAAAATAACTATCCCATGCTCATGGATTGGAAGAATTAATATTGTGGAAATATCAAGACTACACAAAGCAGTCAACAGATTCAGTGCAGTCTCCATCAAAATGGCAGTGACATTCTTCACAGAAATAGAAAAAATAATCTTAAAATTTTTATGCTGTTTTTGTTGATTTTTATTTGTCAAGTGAAATCTATCAAGTCAGCAGAACTCTAATTTTCAGGATATTCTGGAGCATTGCTTTTCTGTAATAGTTTATTTTCTTACAATTGCCCCAAACTCAAATTTTGTAGCTATTGATGTAGTTTTAATTAAAAAGGATTTTATGATGAAATTCCTCTAATTAGGATACCAGTGCTCCTATTAAACTCAAGTTTTGCTAAGGGCTCTTTGCTTAAGCACAACCCAGCATCTGTGGGGGGAAAGCATAATTAAGAACTTTAACAGGAATTTTTCAAATGTACACTCATGACTTAATCTTGAAGCTCTGATGTTTTGAAATATTTCTATGCTTTCTATTCCTACCCCTGAATCATGGGATGTCCTTGAGTCCTGTTCTGGGAAGCTCTGGGGAGGAGGTTCAATGCGACGTTGTGGTTACTGCATACTACAGGCCCAGGTCATCGCTTCTCATTCAGCCCCTAATTCTGTGTGGCTGTGAAAAGCTCTGGGCTAACTGCACACATCATCTACATTCCAGTGTCCTCCATCCCCACATAGGCTGAAGGTGACCCTGTGGTTGGAGATGGAGTGTCTTGAGTCTTGCTCCTAGTACTGCTTGCTGTGTCCGTGACTTTGAGATGACAGCGTCCTATACCTTGCCAGTTCTTTCTGTGCCGAATGGGACCAACATGGATTTGTTTTTTGCAAAGGCCCTCAGGATCTCCAAAAGCCCAGGATTGTTCTTAGCTGGGGGTAGGACTGCGTTGTGACCCAGGAGACCTAGTTTTCTACCCTCATGAGGAAAGTTGCTTTATGCCCCTGAGCCTCAGTTTCCTCAGCTGTAAAATGAAGAGTGGGCTGGGTGGCCTCTACAGTCTCTTGAAGGGAAAAATAGCTTCATGCTGTTTGTTGTGGGGAGATACTTGGAGTCTAGAAGCCTAATTTCAGTCAGTATAGCAGCGGCTTTTCTCCCAGGGGACCAGACTATGTGGGGCTGGCAAGCAGCAGGTCAGAAGCCCTCAACACTGCCCACTTCACCTGGGGACAGAAAAACCAAGGGGGAGTGAGAGAAGACATGAGAAGTTCTCACTTGAGCATTTGTTCTGCACAGGGCTCCAGAGACAAGCACCAAACTGCAAGCACAGAGTTGTTTTATACCTGCAGTTTAATTCAAAGTTTAAAAAAAAAGAAAAAAGGAAAGGAAACGTTGGTTTCTCTCCCCCCCTGCCCCCTGAAGCTGTTTTCAGTGGAACTTCCATATGAGAATGCATTTATTACTGTAAGTATCAAGCAAGTCAGACCATGCAGGCACAGCACAGAACGCAGCCTGGAACATTCGCAGCCTCGACCCGGGGACCACACGCCTCTACCGTTAGACACAGTTGTCTCTCTGAAGTTCATCCCATCTTTTCTCTTGCTCCCTTTTAATAAACTCGTGTTATGTAAACCCTCCAGGTAACAAGTGGATTTTCTTTGTCAGTAGTCACTCTCAAGACGATTTTATCAAATGTGAATCCTCCCTCTACCGTCAACCACGTGCAAAGGGAAATGGACAGAGCAGAGGAGAGGTGTATGTGCACTGAAGATGTGGGCATGCTACTGGGAATTGGGAGGAAGGTCAGGGGGAATCAGGCCAAAGTGACAAATGCACCTTATCAAGTATTTTGGAACAGAGAAAGGTAGGAAGATGAAAAGAAAAACCCGCCTATTCTGCCAGACCAGAGGTAGTCATTGTTAATATTTTGGAATTTATTCTTTTCTGTTTCTCTCTGTTTTTGTGAAAGTGAGCATGAGTTTTCTATCCCATGCTTTTCCATCATTTCACCGTTTTCTATTTATAAATAATCCTCCAATAAACATCCTTGCCTGCCCCCTTTAAGTCATTCCATAGGAGAGGTCTTGGGTGTCAGGATACCACATTTGAGAGCACGAACTTATTTTATCATTGTTACAACTCCCAACTCTTCTTACCCAGCTGCCTAATTGGCAGATTACACTCCTCCAGGCCACATATGTCCTTTTCACCCCATCCCACCAAACATTATTTACTTTTCAAATCTTCACTGTCTAGTAGGTGAACATAGCACTTCCCCTTTTTGTTTTATCTCATTGCTAATAACAGTGAGCATTTTCACATGTTTCTCTTTCTATTCCCTTTTCTGTGAACTACGGATTCATGTCATGTGCCCATTTTCTCTCCTGTAATAACAACATTTATCTGTTTCTGTTTTTATTATAACTATTATTTTCAGTTTGCTATTTTCCTTTTATGATGATTTTGATGTATGAGCGAATTTAGTTTTTTGTTTTTTGTTTTTTGTTTTTTTTTTGAGTTGGAGTCTCACTGTCGCCTAGACTGGAGTGCAGTGCAGTGGTCGCTCCCGGCCACCGCAGCCTCAACCTGCTGGGCTCCGGCGATCCTTCTGCCTCAGCCTTCCAAGTAGCTGGAACTACAGGCGCACACTACCACACCTGGCTAATTTTTTGATTTATTGTAGAGATGAGGTCTCGCTGTCCAGGTGGGTCTTGAACCCGCGGGCTCAGGCAATCCACTCACCTCAGCCTCCCAAAGGCACAGGATTACAGGCTGAACCACCGAGCCTGGCTAGTTTTTATGTATTTAAAAATGGGATCTTATTCATCACAATTTCTTCTATTGCTTTTATACCAAGGGAGGCTTCCTTGTCTAGAGATCAGATTGCTATCCACTGTCACTTTGTTGGTTGGTTTGAGTTTCAAGACTTTTTTTTTTAGTTGGAATCTCACTCTGTCCCCCTGGCTAGAGTGCATTGTCATGCTCACAATCATTTCAGTCTCTACCTTCTGGACTCAGGCGATCCTTCTGCCCCAGCCTCCTGAGTAGCTGGGACTACAGGTGCCACCACACTTGGCTAATTTTTTAATTTATTGTGGAGATGAGGTCTTACCAAGTTGCCTCGGCAGGTCTTGAAACCCTGGACTTAGGCAGTCTTCTGGCCTCAGCTCCCAAAGTGCTGGGTTTACAGTTCCAGCCAAGTATTAAGACTATTATAGCAGTCTAATATATTTGGAATTTATTTTGGCATATCGCATAGGACAATGACCTTAGCAAGTTTGTTTCTGGATGGTTCACCAGTTTTTCCATGATCCGTTGTTACACACTCCCCATGGATACGTGAGCCATCATCACCACATGCTGTATTTTCACACGAGGGGACTTTTCCAGCCTGTCTGTCCTCACCCCTTATCTCCTTATTCTTGCTCCAGGGATACCCCTTTCTCCCTGGTTCTTATAATATGTTCTAAAACCTGGTATTTCTGGTTTTCAATTTGTTCTCGGCAGTCCTTACCGGTTTATTTTCCAGATGAGCAGTAGAATCAGCTTTGTGAAGTTCCAAAAAATCTCCTTTTGGGGTTTCGATGAAAATTGCATCCAACCTATAAATTAATTAGAAAGGAATTGGCTTCTTGACAGTGTTCAGTCTCCCCATCCAGGGATACACATACAGCACGTCGCTCCACATTTTCAAATATCCTCTTATAGGTCTCACAGGAGTTTCAGAGTCTTCTTTATATAAATTCAGCAAACTTCTTATTGAAGTATTTCCAGATTATTTTATATCTGGGGTACTTTTCTTGATGGACTCTCCCCCTTTGATTTAGATTGCTATTTTAAAGTCACTTTTGCCCCTGTGATTGCCAAGTGCTGACAGGAATCTAAGTGCAGAACAGATTTGCTCTTTTCTAAGCATATAAACTCAGAGATTTAGAACTGGAATCAACTTTAAGTCTGTTTTCTCTTTATAACTGATAAAGCTGGAATCGTGGAAGGTAGAATAGTTTCATCCAGGCCACGTGACTTGCTGGGACCATAGGTACTTGGTGGATGTTTCCAGTGTCTGTATCCTCTGTGTGAAGATGTCCATCTCCAAAACTGAATTCCTGGTTGTCCCTTTGTGTCAGTCTCCCATGGCAACTGTAGTGGGTCACCACAGTCTCTGTGGCTTAAAGCAACACAGCAGTATCATCCTATGTTTCTAGGGGCTAGAAACCCAGTCCGGGCCTCTTGAGGCTGACTTCCTCCCTTGGAGGCTTGAGGAAGAGCCGTTTCTCTGCCCACTCCAGCTTTCGAGGGCGCCTGTGTGTCTCGACTCACAACCCCGTCCTTCACCACCTAAACCAGGGGTCCTCAAACTTTTAAAACAGAGGGCCAGTTCACTGTCCCTCAGACCGTTGGAGGGGCGGACTATAGTTTTAAAAAAAAACTATGAACAAATTCCTATGCACACTGCACACATCTTATTTTGAAGTGAAAAAACAAAACGGGAATAAATGTCCTCGGCGGGCCGCATGTGGCCCACGGGCCGTAGTTTGAGGACCCCTGACCTAAACCCACAGTTCAGCCTCTTCAGCTCTCTCTTCGGACTCCACTGACGGTCCTGCTTCCCTTCTTCTGCTTTAAAGACCTTTGAGATGACATTGGGTCCACTCAGATAATCTAGGATAATCTCTCCCATTTTATTTTTATTTATGTATTTATTTTGAGACAGGGTCTGTCACCTAGGCTGGAGTCTAGTGGTATGATCACAGCTCGCTGCAGCCTTGAAATCCTGAGCTATCCTCCCACCTGAGCCTCCCAAGTAAGTGGAACTACAGTTATCACACCTGGCCAGGTGTTGTTGTTGTTATTAGTAGTAATAGTAGTAGTAGTGGAGATGAGGTCTCACTGTGTTGCCCAGGCTGGCCTCAAACCCCTGGCCTCAAACAGTCTTCCTGCCTTGGTCTCCCAAAGTGCTAGGATTACAGATGTGAGCCACCCTGCCCAGCCCATCTCCCCATTTTAAAATCAGCAACCCTGATTTCACCTGCAACCCTGACTCCTTTCCCATGTAATGTAACACATTCCCAGGCTATCTTTGGGCAGGATATCATTCAGCTAGGATGGACTTCCAAAGTGTGTATCTAAACACGCCAGCCCCTCCTTGACATACTCGGACGGCTCCTCGTCACTCTTTGGATTGCACCCCAAGTCTTTCATGGACCGCCAGGTCCTGAACCTTCCATCCCACATGTCCTCTGGCCCTGCTGAGATCTGTGACCATCCTCACCGTGCCCCTCTTTTTCATTTACCTTCTTTGAGCTCCTTGGGTGTACCTGGCTCTCTCCTGCCCCAGGGCCCTTGTACATGCTGTTCCCTGGTGAGCACTCCCCCACCCATGCCTCCCAGATTAGTTTCCAGCTCATCCTCAGCCTTCAGCTCAGTCCCACATTCCTAACCTTCTACCAGTTTATGTGCCTTTGTCCTGCCCTCTCCTGACACCTTCCAGGGCTCGTGGAATGCTGGCAATTGCATTTTGCTTGTAGAGTTTTCTAATTCTCTCCTGGGCTGGACCAAAAACTCAAAGGGACTCTGTTTTGTGTGCTCACCCCTGTCCCTTCAGAACCTGCAGCACTGGGATCCCAGCAGCCTCCTTAGTGTGTCTGGCGAATGAACACATGAACTCGGGAATCCACTTCCAAGGAAAAGCAGCATTGATGAATGTGATTGGTGATACGTTTATAAACGTGAAAAGATTGAGGCTGTTCAAAAGTCCAACAAGAAGTAAATTGTTATACATCCATTTGATACAGTTGTATACAGACATTAACATGAAAACAATGAACCTATAGCAGCGGGGAGGGAATATTCATCTAAGCTAGCAGGGTCCACGTGGTTGTCATAGCAACTGGTATAAGGTCACGGTTGGGGAGTTCTGTTTTCTCCCATTTCCAATCTCTGCTGTTCATGTGCTCATGTGGTCAGTACATATTTATTGAACACCACTGTGTGCCAGACACTGGGCACAGCTCAGCAAGTGGGATGTGATGGCCTCTCCCGCTGCAGGTATATCAGAGACAGACACAGACGACACTGATGATCACCATGTCAATGGCCCAGCGCTCACAGGTGGCCACTCCATTCGAGAAGACATGAGTTTCTTTGCCAGCATGAGTATCACAGGCTGCAGATACTACTCTTAAAATCAGGGTTGGCTGGACGCAATGGCTCATGCCTGTCATCCCAGCACTCTGGGTAACATGGTGAGAGCTCATCTCTACAATAAATCAAAAAATTAGCTGGGCGTGGAGCACTTGCCTATAGTCCCAGCTACTCAGGAGGCTGAGATGGGAAGCTCGCCTAAGCCCAGGAGGTCAAGGCTGCAGTGGCCATGATCATGCACTCCAGCCTGGGTGACTGAGTGAGACTCTGACTCAATAAATAAATAAAGTCAGGGTCATCATTATTAAGGCGCTAAAACTTTTAACTGCGGAGGGAAATTGGAGGGGTAATACATCCATCAGTCTGTAGGCCTTGAAAGAGATTTTCTAAATTGCCTCTCTTGTCTTTAATCACCACTTATCAAGAAGCAGACTGTATGTTCTAGGAGGAAAACA